GGGGGAGCAGCGAGGGAGGAGGCACCCACCTTCTTCATCAGCATGTAGATGTGCAGCTGGGCGTCGTCCAGCACATGGCGGTGCGGCCGGCCCAGGCCCACCAGCGTCCGCTCCATCGTCCGGCTGTCAATGTTGACCCAGCGGGCAGCACCGGGGGCCAGGAACTGCCTGGCATGGGAGAGGGGAGCCCCGGTGGGTCTGGGCCATTCGGGCTGGCCGCTGCCCGCCCCCCGCCCCACCCCTGCGGCACTCACTGGTACACGGCGTGCACCAGGGCGGGGACCTGGGCCTGCCCTCCGTGGCGCAGCTCCTCACAGGCCTCCCAGAAGCTGAGGTTCTCGGCTGGGGGTCCGGGCACGGGGTCAGGCCCACACCAGGCTGGTGGAAACCTGGGGTGGGGGGTCTCGAGCAGGGAGCAGGGGAGGGAGCTTCTCACCACTGAACTCCTTCCTGAGAAAGTCCATGAAATGGGCCCGTCCCACAGGGTCTTCCAAGAGTTCCCGGAAGCTGAAGGCCCACTGCTCCACACGGAGCCTTGTGGGCATGGCCGCGCTGGGGGAGGGGTGGGTGGGTCAGGAGCACGAGGAAGGCAGGGGCACACCTGCAGCTCCTGGCCCACCCCGGGCTCACCTGGGTGCATTCATGGCCCAGTAGGTATCGTTGTCTGTGACCCAGGGGTTGCTGGGCAGGCACCCCGACATGATGGGGTCGTGCGGCCCACGCTGGCTGCTAAATTTCAGGTACCTGGGGGTGGAGGGTGGTGCCAGGGCCAGTGCAGGGAGTGCTGTGGGGACGAGGGCGCTGGAGGAAGGGTTTGGGCTCTGGGCTGGGGGTCTCCAGCCACCACCCCCATCCCACTCACGCCTCGAGGCAGACGGAGGACTTCACCCGGGCCCTGCCCAGTGCCTTTCGTAACCACTCGACCTAAGATGGGAGACCTGTGAGGGGCGCCGGGGCTGGGAGCCACCAGCCCACCCCTCCCCTCCCTTCTGCCCCCAGGACCTACCTCCCGCCTGTAGAAATCCACGGTCTTGGTCTGGAAGGGGCCGGTGGGCTGCAGTTAGAAGGCAGGTCCCTATAGGGACGGACATCCCACCCCTGCCCTGCCCTCCGGAGCCCTGGCCTCTAATGCAGGGGTCTGACTTTCCAGGACGCCTCCTGGGGCCTCAAGTCTGGACGTTTCGGGGTGTTCACCAAGCCCTCAGGTGCTCAAAGTTGCCTTGAGTTTCCCCAACTGTCACTATTTCATGTTTTCAAATGTACTGAAAGGAAGGGAGGGCAGACAGCACCCTCAGGATGCTTGTGATGCCAACCTTTCCTCTCAGCTATCTGCGTGAGTTTGCTGGAAATCACAAACCTATGACCGTAAACTATGATTCTGAAGTCAGGAAGATGTTTTCTCAGAAAGTACTAGATGACTCCGCTCTATGTTTTGGGTGTCGTGGGATCTGACTGAGGACTCTGCTGCTACAAAGTTCGGACCTGTGTCCTGGTCCAATTCCATCCAGTTTGGAGGCTTTGGAGGCGCATGGTTCATTCGGCCCTGGTTGCTCGGGCCCGTGGCCCTGCTCGCCACCCCTCCAAGTCCCCACAGACCCTGATACTGCCCTAGCCTGGGGGAAAAGACCCCCTCCCCCCATAGGGTCTACTGTACTTACTTGCACCCAGGGCAGCAGGTGGGAGGTGAGAGAGAGCGAGAGTTAGCAGGGGGCTGGGAGTCGGGGCAGTGAGCTGGGGAGCAAAGCAGGAGACTTGGAGTGACTGAGTCATGGGACATTTGGATGGACAAGTGGACAGGTGGGTGGGCAGCCCCCAAGCAGTCCCCTAGTGGTGGAGTGGGTGGGTAAAGTGGCAGGGGGGGAGGTGGAGGGGTTAAGGGAGGTGGGGGCACATGGAGCAGAGGGCACTGTGCAGGGGTGGGGAGTGGGCTGGGGGTGTGTGCATGCAGGGTCCTCACCATCTGCACTCGCCCAGCAGTGCAGGAATTCCGCTCTGGACCTTGCTCCAGCACGCTGGGGACCCCGGGCTGCAGAGGCGGGATGAGATGAAGCGGGGGCACAGCTCAGGCAGGCTGCTGAGACCCTCCTAACCCCATACACTGAAGCTCTGCGCCCAGGTCAGGCCCTAATGTGGAAACATGCTCAGGGGAACTCGGGACCTGCATGCTCTCTGCCCATCCCCACCCCAGGGCACCCTCCCTGTCTAGCCCACCCTGGTCCCCTCTCCAGCCCCTCACCCAGCTCCTGGCTCCTAAAGCCAAGTCTGTGACCTGCCCCCAAGCCCCCCGTTCTTCCTCGCCTCAGCCAAACTCACCTCCGAGCCCCTGGCTGCTCAGGCCAGAACCCCAGCCCTACCTGAGACAGCCCCTCTGGCCGCACCTCGTCCTGACCACCCCGTCCCCAGACACACATGCCTCCCCGGAGGCCACGGGCGCCATTACTGGTCCATCCACAGGACCACCGCCGGCCCTCAGCCCACTGCTCAGCCTTGGCCACACCCACTCCACCCTCAACGCCTGAGGCCCCGTGACCCTCAGGTGGAAGATTAAGGGTCATTTTCCCAGAGGCACTACCCACACCTGATGAGGTAATCAGGCCCCTGGGTGCCTCTTTTTTTTTTTTCATGGAGTTTTTCCCCCGGAGCTTCTATTCATGGTCCGCTGTGACTGCCCCTCACAGCACACATCTGTGTCTACTGGTCTCTCCACTGCCCCACACAGTAGGGGGACCTCAACCCACCTGCCAGGCCCACGGATCTGGGTAAGGCCTGACCCCAGGCCAGCACCGCAGAAGCTCTTGGCCTGTGACCTCAGTCCCTCATGCTGCAGCTAAGCCTGCCCCAACTCACCTCCCCCAACCCCAAGGGCCTTCAGGTGCCCCCACTCACCTTCCCCCACCCCAAGGGCCTTCAGATGCCCCCACTCACCTCCCCCCACCCCAAGGGCCTTCAGGTGCCCTCACTCACCACCACACCCCACACCCCCACCCTGCCCAGGGCCTTCAGGTGCCCACATTCTGCTTCCTTAGACCCAGAGAGAAGCTGCTGTGTCCTAGTCTGTGGGTGGGGGCAGCTCAGGCCTGGCCTTGTGACCTCTGGGTTCTCATGAACCACAGAAAAAGAACTTCCTGTCACCTGACAGGATCCCTAAAAGCATGTCCTTCCCAGGGGTCAGAAAGCAGGTCCTCCTCAGCGAGCACCTGAGGAGGCACACTGACTGCTAGCAGGACTCCGCTGCTGTCTAAGGACCACCCCCCACAAGGGGCTCACCGGGGGCCTGTTCACCAGCCAGTACGTCTGCTCCTGGCATGCGATGACCAGCCTGTCCCCCTTCCTGCGCTGCTTAGCTGCCCTGGGAGGGGGGCGGGTAGGCAGAGCTGGCGGGACACTGTGCCCACCACCTCAACCCCCACTTCAGGCCGCGGCCTGGGCAGGCAGCCAAGCCTGGGTGCGCTGTTTCTGGTCCCAGGGCTGCCAGTGCCTGGGCCGGGGGCGTGCGGGGCATGCAGGGCGTGGTCTCACCACAGCTGCTCTCTCGCCTGCATCACTACCAGGTCCCACGTGTGGCTGATCTTCCTGTGCAGCTGGTCATAGTGCTCCTGCAGAGTGTTGAGGTCTCCAGTGGGAAACTCCCTCTGGTGCCCAGCTCTGGGGTGTGGACTCCCCACCTCCCCTCTGAGACCACCTAGGGTGTTTGTGCTTGTGTATCCACATCACCCTGGGGTCTGGGCTGTGTGCTCTAGGGCCACAAGTAGGGACTGGGTTCCTCTGGCTGGATTCAGCCTGGGAGGGGTGGGGAGGGTGTCCCACCTTTTCGTGGTCAACCAGGCCCCCCCGCTTTCGGATGTTCTTCTTGGCCAGGTAGATGGCTGGAAGGACAGGGCACAGGTTGCAGAGGAGCAATGTCAGCTCCCCCTCCCCTGTGGCATCCCACCTGCAGCCACCAGTCCTGGGAGTTTGTCCCTGGCTAGCCCACCCCTCCTCACTCACCGTAGTCCAGCTCAGCGGCTGGCCACAGGGTGCTCATCCAGAAATAGGGCGTCTGGTGTGGTGCAAGGACAAAGGTATCTGTGACCTTCTGGGCCTTCCCCGCCCCAAGAGTCATCCCCACCCTCTCAGTTCCCTTGGGAGGAGACTGGGCTGGCTGGGGGGTATCTTCCCACTGCCCCAAGGCTCAGCTGACCATCCACCATTCCGTCCACCTGGACTGAGCTGCGCTTGGTTCACTGACTCTGGGCTCCCTGCCCAGGCCCAGGAAGTGGTTGTAGTGCTGGGGGGGTGGGGACTGAGGGCAGGCCCTGCCAGGGTCCCTGGTGTGGCCAGGGAGGGCAGGAGGGGGGGCTCCATCATGATTGAGGACGCACATTGAGGTGCAGGGATCCTGTCCTTAGGCCCCTTCTTCAGGGCTGGGGCCTAAGGGCCCCGGGTAAGCTGGTGGAGTCCTGGGCAGGTACTACCCCTTATGGGACCCTGCTAAAGGTCCCTCCCCTTAACTTGGTCTTTCTGTCACAGGGACGCTTCCAGTCCAGGCCTTTTGGGGAGGGGGCAGTGGACCACAAGATCTGCGGTGACATCACAGGTCCTGCTCCTGCCCCAGCCCCACCCCTTTCAGGAGTCTCTGCCAAGGCGCTGCCTGGTGGGATGGGTCCTACCTGCTCCCCGTTGAGCCTGACCTGGAACCTATAGGGCGTTTCATCCAGCCGGAGCTTGAGGTGGCAGGGGTCTCGCAGTGGGTATAGGTAGCCATGCCGCACTAGAAGGGTGCCCAGGTGCAGGGCCTCTGGGGAGCAAGGTGGTGAATTCTTAGTGGGGGGAGCCGAGCACAGTGGGCTTGGCCCCAGCCCTAGGCCATCAGCACAGCGACCCCAGGGCCGGGTATGGGGCGCAGGAAGAGCAGCGGGCTGACCCCTTACCCTCCTCTGTGATGCAGTACTTATGGATCAACCACTCCACGACGTCGTTGCCTGCATAGCAGAGACTGGGGTAGGGGGAGGCCGAGGCAGGGCCGGCACACCCCTCCCCGCCCCTGCAACACCTCACCAGTCACTGCGTGAGGAATGACGGTGACGAGCAGGCGCTGGCTCCGCATCTTCACGCCCTGGTCGGGGTCCTGCATACTCACGACCATCCGCTCCATCTGGGCAAAGGAGGTTGAGGGCCTGCGGTGGCCTCCTCCCCCACCCCCAGATCCAGATGCCCCGGAACAGCCCGGGATGCGCCGGATCAGTGTGCTTGAAGGGGGGGGGGGCGCGAGCGAGCGGCGACCCCAACCCCGGGGTCTCCGCCGCCCCACCCCGCTCACACAGTGCCATCGCCCCAGACCCGCGTCCACACTGGCGCGCTCGCGTAGTGTCCACACTCGCGTGCACCCGCACTCACTCCTCTCCTGCCCCTCCCGGCCTCGCGTGTCGGGAAATCGGGGGTGGGGGGCGGGCGGGATCACGGCACCCACCTTGCTCAGATGCGGCCTCTGCGCGCGGGGGTGCCCGCCGTGGGACGCGGGGCCGGCGGCCATGGCTGAGGCAGGCCCAGCGGGGCAAGGGTGTCCGGCCGCCCCGCCCCGCCCCTCCCCTCCTCTCCCGGGCCGCCGCCCCGCCCGCGAGTTAACCCTCCGCAGCGCGGGGTCTGGGGTCTGGGGACGCGCGTCCGATCATCCACCTCGAGCAGGCTCCCCTCACGTCACGAGAAACCGAGGCCCGTGCCCGCGGGAGCCTGCCTGAAGCTTCGAGAGGGGGCTTGGACCCACCCGGACAGCGTGGGGGGAATCAGCCTCTGCTGGGACGGCGGTGGGGGAGGCTCAGAGGTGGGGTGGGAACTCAGGGAAAGGATGGGGACTCAGAAAAGGGGAGAGGGGACTTGCGGGGAAGGAGGGCTGGGGTGGAGGATAACCGTTTAGGGTCACTGTAACCCCTCCCCCATACCCACCTCCTGTGTGGCGCCCCAGGATGTGGGCGACCAGTGGTGCAGGGGCTGTAAGGTCTGGGTGAGGGGTCGAACTGCCCTAGGAGTGTGTCCCTGCAACTGTGACACTGTCCCTGACGCATGCAGGTGCTACCGGGCTGGTATGACACTGCGTGGCTGCATAGGTGTGCTGGGCAGGGGCCCTTGAGGCCTGGGGGAATACGGCAGGCAGCTCACTTCCCCTCTGCTGCACTGATGATGCCTGGGGCAACAGTTGGGGAACAGACAGAGACCCCACCCGGGTTACCCCGAAACTGTGGGAGACTGTGGGAGGGGGCTTTACTGGGAGAGAAGATCTCAACGCCTGCCCCCCAAGATTCGTGGGCAACCTCTGGGCTCAGGGCCCAGCCTGGCCGTTTCTCTCCCTCCTCCAACAGCTTGGCCACCCACACCCCTTTTGTTGTGGCCATTTTAAAGTGGTGCAAACAGGTCTATTTCTGATTTTTAGGTGCGTGGGGCAGGGCAGGATGTCGGGGTTAGCCTTTGACCAGAGCCTCCAACATGGCCATCTGAACCCATTTCCACTGCAGGCAAAGCCATGTCCAGGCTGAGCTGGGGCAGGGGTACGGGAGGGGGGTTCTACCCTTCCCAGGTGCCATTCTCCCTTACATGCCAGTGAAATTCTCTCACCCAGCCCCACCCACACAGGTGGGGTCAGGCTGGCCCCAGGCCTGGCTGTCCTCTCTTCATGGATGGGCTTCCAGAGAGGCTGAAGGCCCCCAGAGGCCAGAGCTATCCCCAGCCTGGGGACAAGTGGCTTCCCTGACCACCCCAGGGAAGGGGCAGCAGGATGTGACCCTAGAAGGGCTGGGCTCCGGCTGGGGAGATTCTGCCTTGGAAAGACTGTGGGCAGGTGCGGCTCCAAGGGGGACAGTCGCCACCCTAGCACACGTGCCTCCCGCACCCACGGCCTGCTGGCCTCCTTCTCAGATAGGGGGCTCCTTTGGGCCAGGGCAGATCTGATCCTTGGGTGTCCTCAGAAATGGGGGGCGGAGGGGTGTAAGGAAGCAGGGGGACTCTAGCTGGTGTTCTGCCTCCCCCTCCACTTTGACCCAGCTGTCCCCAGCCTCAGGTCCAGCTCACCCCTGCCTCTGCCCCGCTGACCCCCATCCACCTGTCACAAGGTCTGTTTAGGCATCAAGACCAGAGGCCCCTTCTGTGTGCCCCTCTCAGCACTCCACCACACCATTCTGTTTCAGATCAGTGTCCTTTTCTCCCCAAGGACGGGGGCCTCTGAGCATAGAGCATGCAAAGACACCTCCACCGCCACCCCCCCCCACCACGCTCACACAGCCCAGTCAATAAACACTGGAATAATGGCTGTGTCTCCAGACTGCACCTCACTGTGTGTATGGACACTGGCCCCTCCATGCTGATGCCTGTGAACCTCTGGGGTGCAGGACCAGGAGGCTGTGCAGACACACACAGCATCCCCCACCCCCCAAGGCTGGGCAGACTCCAGGAGTCCCCTCTGCCCAGACATAAATAAGCTCCAGCGGGGGTGGGAGTAGGGGGAGGGGGAGGGACTGTCGGGCCCCAGGTGCGGCCTGCGCTGCCCGCAGGTAATGAGAGCCTGGGGACTTGTGGTGGGGGACGCACCTGCTCCACTCGCGCCCCCAGCCCCACCAGCCCCGCCCAGAGGGCTTCCCCGGAGACTCCCCAGACTCCGGGCGGCGCCGTGGGGTGGGGCAGCTCTGATGGCCAGAGCCAGGTGCAGGCGGGGCGGGATGCGGGGACCGTGACCGCGGCGGCTGTGCGGGGTCCGAGTGCGCCCGCTGTGGGGACGACCGGGTGCCGGCGCCAAGCGGGCGACACGCGCGTCTCTGCGGGGCTGCGCGGGGTCCGCGGAGCGGCTGGGGGCGCGCGGCGCGGGCGCGGCGCTGGGCGCGGGGGGCGCTCCCGGCCGGGATGAGCTCACCGCAGTCGCGCCGGGGCTGAGCGCCGAGCCGGGCGGCGGCGGGGCGGGCGGCGGCTCCTCGGCGGCTCGGCGGCGGGGCCGGGCCGCGGGCCACCATGCTGGGCCTGGACGCGTGTGAGCTGGGGGCGCAGCTGCTGGAGCTGCTCCGGCTGGCGCTGTGCGCCCGAGGTGAGCGGGCCGTGGCCAGGGCAGCCACGTGGGCGGGGGGGCTCAGCCCGGGGCGCTGCGGCTTCTCCCCCGCGGAAACTTTGGGGGCGCTCGTGGGGACCTCGCGGCGGGGTCCTCCGGCAGGGCTCTGGCGGGGGTGGGGGGCTTCGTCCAGGCCAGACACTCATGGGGCAAGGGGTCAAGAGTGGGCGAGTCTGTTTAGCCAGGGTGGCAGGGGGGCCCTCTCCCCGTGGGAACCTGCCCCTGAGGTCCCATCTCCCTTGGGTGGGGCTGGGGCTCCTTCAGGGAGGGTGTGGATCCCAGGAAAGACTGGAGCGCAGTGGGCAGGGACTCGGAAAGACCCTGCCCCAAGGCACCATGGGAGCTTCTCCTAGGACTGTGGGAAGGGCTCAGAAAGACCCCTGCGTTAAGGCGCCAGGGGAAGGGGCTTAGCTGACTGGGTCTGGAGGCACCTGGGGAGGTGGCCTCGGAGCATAAGTTGAGGGGTTTAGAGAGAACCACCCCTACCCTTCAGGAGCATTATGGGGAGGAACTCCCAAGACTGTGGGGAGGCATTCAGGGAACACAGTCCCTGAGCAGGTGGTTGGGGACCCTGAGAGGTGTCCGAGAGCCTTATGGGAATATGGGAAGAGGCCTAGGGCACTGGGGACCCTGGAGAGCAGCGAAAAGGCAGAGCCTCTGCTCTAGAGAAGACCTCAGCAGTAACCACTCCGTAGTGGTGGACCCTATCCCTTGGGGCTGTCCCCCATTTGGAGGACAGTCAGGGAGGGGCCTGGGATGAATGGGTGGGGCAGGAGGATGCAGCTGGAGCCTCCAGGGATCACCTGCCTCCATCTCTTGGGAGCCTTCTCCACTCCCCAGGCCCTTCCCGAAGAGGCTGGGTTTGGGCGCTGCTCTGCATCTTCTCGGCCCACCCCTCTCCCAGAGCTCTCACCGGACTCCTGTTAAGTTCCTTCCTTTGGGCAGTGGGAGGTCCAGCTGGCCAGACGGCAGGCTCCAGCAAATGCCAGGTCAGCTGGCAGCAGCTGCTCACACACCCTTCCCCGACCCCCAGTCCTCCTGACCGACAAGGAGAAGGGGCAGCTTCCGCCAGATGAGGTGCTGGATGAGGCCGTGCCGGAGTACCGGGCCCCGGGGAGGAAAAGCCTCCTGGAAATCCAGCAGCTGGACCCGGACGACAAGAGCCTGGTCAATTACAAGCGGGCGTTGCTGGGGCCTGAGCCACCTGCCGTGGGTATGCCCACGCCCTGGGCTGGGGTGGGGAGGGTGGGTTAGGGTTAGGGCACCTGTACACTTCTGGTTTCTCTTCAGACCCAAGCCTGCCCAACGTGCAGGTGACCAGCTTGACACTGATGTCTGAGCAGGCCCCAGGGCCCATCACCATGGACCTCACAGGTAACTCCCAGGATGCCTGGTGCGACCCTGAGCCCCAGGCAGGGACCTCACAGGTAACCCCCTCCGCAAAATACCAACTGATCTTTGGGGTAGAGACCTGGGCTCGTTGCCATGTACCTCTTAGGACCCGCCCATGCCCAATCCCAAGTACTCAGACCTAGACCTCACAGGTACAGGCCCCCCATGGGGGCTCCTGGGACAGGGTCTCAGCCATCACAGGAGTTCACACTTAGCTGCACTTTCCCTAACAGGGGAGTTGGCTGCGCTGAAAAACCAGGTGTTTGTCCTGAAGGAGGGTGTTGATTACAAAGTGAAGATTACCTTCAAGGTGAGGGAGCTGTCACGGGGGACACCAGCCAGCCACAGGCCCGTCCCCCCCAGGTTCCCCCTAACACCCTCTGTCCGTCAGGTCAATAAGGAGATCGTCAGTGGCCTCAAGTGTCTGCATCACACCTACCGCCAGGGCCTGAGAGGTGAGGGCTGCGTGGAGGGGGCAGCCGAGGGGGAAGGCTCGGGGTGGGGGCCAGTGGGGCAGAGGGCAGCCCCTGACGCCCTCGCCCTCCCCCAGTGGACAAAGCCGTCTACATGGTGGGCAGCTATGGCCCGAGCGCCCAGGAGTACGAGTTTGTGACTCCGCTGGAGGAGGCGCCCCGGGGCGCGCTGGTGCGGGGCGCCTACGTGGTCACCTCCTTCTTCACTGATGACGACAGGACCCCCCACCTGTCCTGGGAGTGGGGCCTCCACATCTGCCAGGACTGGGAGAGCTGAGCGCCCCCTGCCCCAGGGCTGTGTTCCCACTTGCGGTCCTGGTCTCCCCCACCTGTCAGTCACTGCAAGGGACCCCTGACCATTCCCCGGACCCCTCAGTGGCCAGACCCCCCTGCCCTCTGCCCTGTCCCGGGATGCCCCCTCCCCAGGCCTGGCACTGTGCCCTGAACAGTCCTATTAAACGTTGCTCTGTCTTGGTGCCCTCGGTGTCGCCTGTCTGCCTCCCCGCCCCCGGGGTGGGGGGGCCTCCCAGCCTTATCTTCCCTGCAACCAGGCTTGCGTGCCACGTGGCGGCAGCTGCTTGGCCCCCCACCCCCTTATCTGCCCCCGCCCCGTGGGCCCCGGCACTGCCATGGACGGCCAGCTCCTGCCAGTGCTGCTGCTGCTGCTGCTCGGGGCCTCAGGCCTGTGGGGACAGGGGCCAGGGCCCGAGGGTCCCTTGGAGGAGCCCCCTGAGGAGGAGCCCCCCGAGGAGGAGCCCCCGGAGGAGGATGGGATCTTGGTGCTGAGCCGGCAGACCCTTGGCCGGGCCTTGCGGGAGCACCCTGCCCTGCTGGTGGAGTTCTGTGAGTGCTTGGGGCCGGTGGGGCTGGGAGACCCGCAGGGGCCACCTGGGGGGTTCTGCCCCCCCCCATGCCAGGGCCACTCGCACCCACTGTGCTCCTGGAGCTCTGTCAGAAGATACCCGAGGCACAGCCCTGGGGCTGAGCTGGGCCTGGGGGTCCAGCCTCACAGTGGTGAAGGGCACAGGTGCAGGGGAGACCCACGGTCATTGTCCTTCTACAAACTCTTCCGTAAAGGGCCAGCCAGCATTCAGGCTTCCACATTCTTCCGGGTTTTTACAAGTTTTTCACACGTGAGAGCCATTCTTAGCCGGCAGGCCTCAACAGGCAGATGGCCTGGCGCCGGCCTCAGGGGGCGGCAACGGAAAATTCCTCCTGAATTCAGTCAGGACAGTACTGGCCACTGCCTCCCCAAGCTGGGGGCCTTGAGGAGGCTGGTCTCCAGTGCTTGAGCTCCATGTGGCCAAGGCTCAGGTGGGCCCCTGATGAGGGAGGTGTGGACAGGACATGCTTGCTCCCTGCTGGGCCTGACTGGCCCCAAGGTCGGCCAGCTCTGGCCTGGCGGGAGCAGGGGCTACGGCTGGGGCCATGGAGGCCTGGGGCGCTCATGGCCCTGTCCCCCAGACGCCCCATGGTGTGGGCACTGCAAGGCACTGGCCCCTGAGTACAGCAAGGCGGCTGCCCTGCTGGCAGCAGAGTCGGCCAAAGTCAGGCTGGCCAAGGTGGACGGGCCCGCGGAGCCAGAGTTGGCCAAGGAGTTTGCGGTGACAGAGTACCCCACGCTCAAGTTCTTCCTTGACGGGAACCATATGCACCCGGAGGAGTACACTGGTGCGGGGAGTGGGCATGGGTGGGTGGGCAGGTGGCAGGGCTGGCCCAGGCTGAGGGGAATCTCTGCAGGCCCCTGGGAGGCTGAGGGCATCGCTGAGTGGCTGAGGCGGCGGGTGGGGCCCAGTGCCACGAGGCTGGAGGATGAGGAGGGCGCCCGAGCGCTGATAGATGCCCGGGATGTGGTGGTCATTGGCTTCTTCCAGGTGAGCTGGTGGCATGGGGGCTGGGCCTGGGAGCAGGGTCTGTGAGGCCAGTCAGCATCATAGGCTCGGGCCCCTTAGGACCTGCAGGACAAGGATGTGGCTACCTTCCTGGCCCTGGCCCAGGATGCCCTGGACATGAGCTTTGGCCTCACCAACCAGCCTCAGCTCTTTGAGAAGTTCGGCCTCACCAAGGACACTGTGGTCCTCTTCAAAAAGGTGGGTCAGGCCCAGAGTCAGGGCAGAAGTGGGGGTCGGAGTCAGGGTGATGGCTCCTGCTGACCCACCGGCGCTGTCCAGTATGACGAGGGGCGGGCAGACCTCCCAGTGGATGAGGAGCTGGGCCTGGACCAAGGGGATCTGTCACGCTTCCTCCTCACGCACAGCATGCACCTGGTCACGGAGTTCAACAGCCAGGTGAGTGGGGCCGGAGGGCAGGTGCGGGTGGGAGCGGAGGATGGGAGGCGAGCGCGGGAGCAGCCCACGAGCGCCACTTGCCCCCGCAGACGTCCCGTAAGATCTTTGCAGCCAGGATCCTTAACCACTTGCTGCTGTTCGTCAATCAGACGCTGGCCCCCCACCGGGAGCTGCTGGTGGGTTTCCGGGAGGCGGCTCCCGGCTTCCGCGGGCAGGTACTGGCTCAGCCCATGGGTAAGGGGTGAGGTGGCAGTGGGGAGGCAGGGCGCCCACGCGGACTCCCTGCTGGCAGGTACTGTTTGTGGTGGTGGACGTGGGCGCCAGCAACGACCACGTGCTCCAGTACTTTGGCCTCAAGGCCGAGGAGGCCCCCGCCCTCCGCTTCATCAACATTGAGACCACCAAGAAGTACACGCCTGCGGACAGGGGGCCAGTCACCGCCGCCTCGGTTGCAGCCTTCTGCCACGCAGTCCTGGGTGGGGAGGTCAAGGTCTGCTGCTGGACTGCCCAGTTGGGGGGCGGGGGTGGGAGCAGCGGCTCTTGGGAGAGACCCCCCCAATAAAGCACCTGGCCGGTTCTCCCAGCCTTATCGCTTGAGCCAGGAGGTCCCCCCCAACTGGGACCAGCGGCCAGTCAAGACGCTCGTGAGCAAGAATTTCGAGCAGGTGGCTTTTGATGAAACCAAGAACGTGTTTATCAAGTTCTGTGAGTGCAGAGGGCAGTGGGCTAGTGGGGAGCAGGGACCCTGCTGGCTGTACCGATGCCCCCCTGTCCTAGATGCCCCATGGTGCACCCACTGCAAGGAGATGGCCCCGGCCTGGGAGGCACTGGCTGAGAAGTACAGGGACCACGAGGACATCGTCATCGCTGAGCTGGACGCCACGGCCAACGAGCTGGAGGCCCTCCCTGTGCACGGCTTCCCCACCCTCAAGTACTTCCCAGCGGGGCCCGGTCGGAAGGTGAGGCAGGACCCCGTCCTTGGTCTGGGCTCAGTCTAGGCTCTTCAGACCTCGGCTGGAGACGCACTGTGGCCTCGGAGGGCTGGCCTTAGACCCTGGACGGTGTGTCCCCCAGACCTGCCCATCCTTCCTCAGGTGATTGAATACAAAGGCACCAGGGACCTGGAGACCTTCTCCAAGTTTCTGGACAGTGGGGGTGAGCTGCCTGCAGAGGAGCCCACGGAGGTGCCCGGAGCCCCCTTCCCGGTGGGTGTCTCTGTCCCAAGGCTCCAGGTCTCTGGACGAGTCCTCTGGATGCGTGGCTGTGACATGGGCTGGGCTGGGCTGAGGGTGCAGCTTCCAGCTGGGTCTCTATGACCCTTTCCAGGAGATGCCAGAAAACACCACGGAGCCCAAAGACGAGCTGTAGTTGCACCGCTGTCAATGCCCACCCGGGGAGCCGTGTCCCTTGGTGCCCATGGAAGCTGTGGGCTGTGAATAAAGAGCTCTGGTCCTGGACTGTGTGTGTGGTTCCTGAGCAAGCCAGGCCCCCTGGCCCTTGGTTTGGGCCCAATCTCAGCCTCCTGGGTCCTTCACATCTTGGATGAAAGATGGGTCCCTGGCTCAGGTCTGAGGCTCCACTGGGGCAGGAAGGGGGAGCATGGCATTGCTGCCGGCTTCAGGCCCACTCTCTCTCCCAAGCTCTGCTAGCGTTGCTCCACGGCGCCCCCTCCCCGCCACGGAGGCTGGCCTGACTTCCTTTGGTGGCTGGGAGACAGGGCACACATCCCAGGAGCCAGCCGAAGGGCATTCCCACCAGCCACGTTGGACAGGTGCAGTCCACAGCCAGGGAAGATTCAAAAATGGTTTTATTTCATTATTATCCAAGTACCTTTGAAAAGATAACTGTACAAGTCAGCGCATGAAAAACGGGCTTGGGGCCGTCCCTCCCCGCTGGCCCAGGCCTGAGAAATGTACATATTTACATGGGCCCTTAGGAGGAAGGAGCCCGGGACCCGCTGAGCCCACGCTTGGGCCTCGGTGCTCCGTCGCCGGGTCCACACAGTGAGGCAAGACACAAGCTGTGTTGAAGGCACTCGGTGACATGTACAATGGACAGAGGCCCCACGGGGCCCCCTGCACCACGGCTCTGGGACAGGCCTGACCAGGGCAGGCCATGGCAGGCGAGTCCTGGAAGGAGCAGAGCCTGTGGGGTGAGCGCCGGGGGCGTCCGCGGTTAGCAGCAGGGGGCCGTGGGGGAGGGTCTCAAGGCGGCCCCATGGTGGGCTCCCTGCTGGGTGGGCTCTTGAGTGTCCTGCAGAGGAGTGGGTGGAAGCCTGTGGGACCCCAGAGGGACCCCCGCCCTCCTGGACACAGACAGACCAAAGGGCTGGCAGCTGTGAGGCGGGCAGCACCTGGCCTTCCGCCAGCAGCTGCGTGTCTGCCACACTCTCACAAGCCGGCACAGGCCCTCGTGGTGCAGAGCGCGGAGGCCAGGCCCGCGCGTCAGTCCACCTTCTCCACCTTGCCGATGACCTTCTCCTCGAAGACGGGCAGCACGGCCCCGTCCTCGCGCACCTCCTCGAACACCACGCCGCATTCGAACTCGTCGCTGACCTTCTTGAAGTAGTATCTGCGGGTGGGAGGGGCGGTGAGGGCGGCAGTGTCCGGCAGTTTGGCGGCCACCCCGACACCTCCTGCAGGGCACGCGAGCCGGTTCTGCCCGGTGCCTGAGTGCCGGTGCTTGACACGTGCGGTGACCACAGGCAGGGTCCCTGCCCCGGCCTCTAGGTGCTGTGGGGGAGGAGTGGGTGGGCGTGGGGTTTCTGTCCTCTCCACTGGGCTAAAGCACCTGCACTCGGCCCAGGGCCCCTCCAGTGGCCACAGAAAACCACCCAGGCAGGCCCACCGTGGGCTGACCCCAGCCGAGACCCCATGGGCCCCACCCGACCTACAGAGCCCAATGAGGAGCCTGCAGGGGCTGGTCTCAGGCCGGCAGGGCTGGGCAGCCCAGGGCAGACCTGCGGAGGATGGTTAGGAGGCTGAGACGAGGCCGACTCAGGTCACACCAGCACAGGGACCAACAGACCCTCCAGACCCCTTGCTCGGCCTGGAGCCCTTAGCCACCTGAGATCACCCATGCCCCATCCATCGCGGGGCTCACGCGGACAGCCCGTGGCCAGACAGGTGGAGGCAAGGACTCAACGAGGCACGAGCACACAGCACTGTCTCCTGAGCTGACCCCACCAATGCCTCTCACCTGTAGTTGCCTTTCTTGGTCAGCAGCTCCTTGAACTGGCCCAGGGTGACCGCACGGCCCCTCACCAGGGTCCGGTAGGGGATGGGCTCCCCACAGAAATAGTAGGCCACGACGATGCTGTCACACGACTGGGCACTCCCACCGCCTGCTTTCCTCTGCGATTTTGTCCTGGGGGGTGGAGAAGCAGCGGTGACGGCTGGGCCCCAGGCCCCCCAGTAAACGACAGAGCAGGGCCTGCAGGGTGGGCTGTGCCACGCTCAGAAGTGCCACACATCCACAGGCCCCGACGCCCGCCCCACCCACATAGCCACGTCCAGCCCCGGGGGCTCACCCCGCGTGGTGCCTCAGCCCAGGTTTCCAGTCCTGCGCCAGCCACATGCCCTGACCCACGCGGACAGCAGCTTGTCGCCTGCCCGCCAACTGTCCAACCGGCGCCTCAGCCTGCCCACCACCCACTGTGAGGCCCTGGTCTCACTGTGGCTTGAACTGCCTGGCGGGCAGCACCCACTACCCAGACCACGTGAAGTTGGGCGAGCAGGCTTCTCAGAGCCAGAACCCTCAGCAGATGCCTCTGCTGGGCTGCATATGACAGCCAGGCCACGGAACCCGCCACAGCCACCGCCTCGAGGCTGGGCTAAACTGCTCGTGTCCTAGTAAGGCCTACAGCCCCAAACTTCAGAAACACCTAAGGCCAGGGAATGGACGAATAGAACTGTGACAGATCCTGACACAGATCTGCCTCATGGCAGAGAGCTTGTCACAAGACCATAAGCAGCAGCCAGCCACACTTCCAGAGACCGCTGAGGCCAGCAGCGCCTCCCACCCAGGCTGAGGCAGCACCCGTCTCCTCTAGCGTCCTGTCCTGTGACTGCTCCAGAGCTGCACAGGTGGAGCCTGGCACAGCCCTTGCCCTGGCCAGCTGGGCGTGTCAGTGTCATGTCAGGAAGGCCACCTGAGCTCACAGCAGGCTCTACTCTCCCTGGGGACCCCCCCCTGCCCCGGTGCTCCTGGGCACAGAGCAGGCTGTCACCTCAGCTGTGTGGCCATCCACTGCCTGAGCCAGGCTCCCAGCACCCGCTTCCCTTCCCTCAGTCCTGCGACCTCAAGCCCAGGCTGTCCTGGGAGCCCAGCTGGAGTTCCTGTGGGGTCCATTCTCTGCAGAAGGGACACCAAGTCCCTGCTTCTCCAGGGGCCACTGGAGGAGTGACCTATGGGGAGGCCGTGAGCCCATCAGCACACTCAGCCGGGTGTGACCAAGTACTTGTGGGGTCAGCCCGGCAAAGCTGAGGTGGGGGCCCCTTCCTTCTTCTCTGTCTTGAGCAGAAGTACAGGGACAGGGTGGCCAGCACTGTCTACATACGGCCCTCGGCTCCCCAGTGCCCAGCCTGGCCCGCACATGCCCAGGGAGCCGACCCGCAGATGCCTGTGGTCCACGTGAGAACAGAGCCCGCTTGCTGTGCACAAGTGCCCGGGGCTGATGCTTCCGGTCAGCAGTGCCAGGGGAGTCAGGGTTACAGCCCTGAACCCATCAAGCCAGGCAGGTCGCTGACCAGCGAGTCCCAAGGCCTGGTGGCAACGTGAGGCCCGAGTGCGGGTGGCGAGTGAACCTCCTCTCTGGCCCGTTGGTCACTTATCACCACGTGGACGGTCAGACGGTTCCTTTGACAGAGATACACTTGCAGACCCAGCTCTTCAGGTGCAGTGCCTGAGCTCCCATCGCGGGCACAGCTGCGCGACTGCAGCACCTGGCCGGAGGTGCAGTATGGCTGGGCAGTACCGGGAAGACCCGGGGGGAGCGCACGTACTCTGTCTCGGAGAGCTCCAGGTCGGACACCGCTGGCACCACGCTCAGCACGGGCGTGCACGCTGGCCTGACACAGGAGCGCCCCCGCTGGATGACCTCCTGCACATACCTAGGGAACAACGGCGTCAGTGAGCCGCATGGGCCTGGGCAGGGCCTCCAGCAGCAGTTGGCGGTGACCACAGGAGACCAGCGGGAAGACGGAGCAGGGGCTCCCAAGACGCTCTGTCACCACAGACGAGGCTCCCACTGTGTGCAGCGGACAAGACACCAAAGCCCTCCTTGGGCTGTGGAGCAGGGCGGGAGGATCAGGGCTCCATCCGGATGAGTCTAGAGGCCGATATTGCTTCCATCCATCCAGGGTTCCCAGACCCTCATCTGGGCAGAGCCTCGGGCACTGGGAACATGCTGGGGTCCTGTCACTTCATGCACACTCAGAGGAGCCTTCGCCTTCCGAGAGGAGCTGCCCTGGCCTCCTCCCTGGGGTGCAGCTCTTCCTACTCAGCATTCGACACAGACCTGGGCTCTGGAGCGCGACCACTGCTCCGTCTGAAGGGGACTTGCTGCCTGGCAGCTCCTCTCCCAGTGGCCTTCCACCCCAGGGGCGATGCTCTGTGGGCCCTGACACAACTTCTACCTTCGCCGGCCTGGGTGGAGGTCACCCCATGAGGAGGGCCCAGCTCTCTGGTCTGTAGCCATTTACAAAAGGCCCACGTGCCCTAGACTGACCACCGTGGAGGTGCCAGAGCCGCCTGTGTGGCTCAGCTCAGCGTCACCAGCCAGACAGGACGTGCCGCTGGGCAGGGCCTGTGAGTACTCACAGGAAGAACAGACAACGGGCAGCAAGGATGATGGGCCAGGAAGCCCCTGCAGGGGGTCCTCACGGCAGGGAGGGTGTCCACACGCCCTGGCCCCCACGGTGGCCCCGCTGCTGCCCCACTGGCCTCCAGCTTACAGGCTAGCATCAGGCGAGGCCACCTGCACAGCCTGCTCCCCGGCTCTATGCTGACGAGCAAGATCACGGGGTGTGAGACAGCTAGGCGTAAACATGGTCACCTTCAGTGACCCGGGGGACGCATGCGGGCTTCCAGCTATGCCCGAGACAGACACTGGGCAGGGTCTGCACCCTGACACCAGCTTCCCCAGAGCAGCACGGACCCAAACACGGTGAGGCCAGACCCCAGATGCCCAGCTGACCAAGGGCAATGGGAGCCAGTAACATCTAAGAAAAACAGTGGCTGCAGTTTGATGACCACACTCCCCAGATTTCCAGGCCCGGGAAAGTGACCTCAAAGGCCAAGCTGCAAGGACCCAGCCTGGAGGCAACCTGTCCCCCATAAAGGGGAGGCCTTCCTGCCCCGCTGGGGCCACCCTGGCCCTGAAGGCCAAGGAGGGCACAGTGAGGAGGGCTGTGGGGCTGGGGTCTTTCCAGGAAAAGAGTTTACACCCACGCACATCTCAGCACCGACGTCCTGCCTGAACGTGACATCAGGGCTCCCCTCCGTGTAGCTGTGAACCACATGTTTCGGGTCCCCTTCGTGGAGGCAGCTGGGAGCCCCCAAGACCGCCCCCTTCTGGCTCAGCCAGCACAGCAGCCAGTGGTCATCTGACTGTGACCTCCGGCAGTCCCAAGGTAAGGGCGAGTGAGCGCATGCGCAGGGCAGTTGCAACACAGGAAAGGCTCCCCCTCCCTCCCCAGGGGGACAGTGTGATGACCACCTGCCCTCCCAGCCCTCGGCCACACAGCAGGCAGCCCTGCTCTCCCGAGGTCCCATACCTCTGCCTCGAGGGCGCCTTGCTGGCCCTCTTCTCCTCCTCCTCCAGGCGCCGGCGGGCCTCCTCCAGCTGCGTCAGAGGGTTGGGGGCCGGGTTGGGTGGCATCGTGGGGTCCTGGATGAAGAGATGCGAGGGCTGCACGGAGGTCCGGAGCTGGGCGCTGACCCAGGGGTGCACGGCCCCGGGGCGCTCGATGGACAAGGGCCGGGAGCTTTCGTGGGCCTGCTGCTTTTTTGCCCCGGACGACCTGTGGGGCCAGAGAACAAGGTGAGCAGCGCCCACACCCCCCACGGTCCCCTGCACCTCGAACGTACAGTCCTTCCTGGAAACTTGTGTACTGAAATATAAATCACATCCTATGTGAATACTTTTTTTTTTCTGCTTCCCCATGAAAACTTTTAAAGAAAAGTTTTCAGTGTTATTGAAAAGTATTTTGATATTAAAATAAGTGCTCTTTGTGAAAAACCTGAAACAGTCAGGAAATTCAAAGAAAAAAATAAATGTAATTCAGCAACGGCCACTCTCAGTATATTCAGTGTATTTCCTTCTCCATTAAAAACACTTGACACAGGGACTTCCCTGGTGGCACAGTGGTTAGGAATCCGCCTGCCAATGCAGGGTACATGGGTTCGAGCCCTGGTCCAGGAAGATCCCACATGCCGTGGAGCAACTAAGCCCACGCGCCACAACTACTGAAGTCCCCGTGTCCTAGAGCCCATGCTCCACAACAAGCAGAGCCTATGGCAACGAGAAGCCCGCGCACCGCAACAAAGAGTAGCCCCTGCTCGCCACAACTAGAGAAAGCCTCTGTGCAGCAACGAAGAACTAACGCAGCCCAATATAAATAAGTTAAAAAGAAAACCAAAAATACTTGACGTAATTAGCATAATTCTGAACATGTGATCTTTCCTGATTTCCCCCTCCACGTGACATCACGCTCTCCATCATCAGACAGTGAGAATGTGCTTTACATCTGTGTGACCTGCTGTCACTCAATCACTGAATGGAATTCGAGTGAAAACATCTGCCTCTCTCAGCTAGGCTGGAGGCCTCAGAAAGGGGGGCTTAGCCCCAGGAGCAAAAAGGAGGGAATCCCAAGAAGGGGGCCCTGGCAAGAGTTGGTTGACCCAGTGCCCTTGTGATGCCAGAACTGCCCAGGGAATGTACGCCAGGGGGAGGTGAACTCCTCCTAAAAAGTCCCACAAGGCCAGCCACAGGGAGACCTCACCCCATCCCCCTACCCCTCACTCCCTGGCCCCACCTTCCCCCCATTCTCCCCTCTACGGGCCTCACCTCCCCTGGGCCCACAGATCCCAAGAAGTGCCTGGTGGAGATGCTGCAGCATCAGCATTTGATAGAACCTGCAGCCCAGCCAGAGGACAGGAGCCTTCCAAACCCAGGAGGCTGTTTCTAGAGTCTCACTCTTTACCCACAGAAGCCCTCCAACCCTCCATTTGGGGTTGGGGGAGCAGCCAAGGACAGAGCCAGTCCTTGTGAAAATCGCAGAAGACAGAAATCCAGAGAAGCCAAAAATCCACCCCCACCAGACCAAGAGAGGGGCTCCCAGAGAGGCCCCCCCACCAGGTCAGGCTCTGTGACTGCAAAGGGTCTGCACACTGGCAGGGGGCTTGTTCCAAGGTTACGTGGAACAAGGGACCCTGTGTTGCCAATGACCTGCCTCACCTGCCTCACACACACCACTCGGCCCTTCCCAGGAATG